TCAAAAAAAAAAAAAGAAAATTACAATATAATGTCCATAGAAGGACTAAAATAGGATTTGCCTGTAACTGAGATACAAATGAAGTAGCAGGAATAATTACATTAATGAAAAATGTCTATAGATTTTACGTAGACAAAGTCAATACTTCATAATTCAGGATTTTTTTTAGATCTGCTTTTTTCTTTTCCAAAACACAAGCCAAATTAAACTTGTATATTACACATTCCCCTCCTCCTCCCAAGAATTCACAGATTCTCTTACTCACATCAACACTTGAAGTAATTATTAGTAGAAATGGGACAGTCAAGAGACACTAGTAATTATTAGTAGAAATAGGCCAGTTAATTGTATTTGGTCAATTGCATCTGTCAATTGTATTAGCACCAAAACATGAAAAGTGACAGGCTTCAAAGATTATCTATTCATTTTTTGGGACCTACCCCCAAATCTGGGATAGCCACCCATTTAAGCACTGATGGCTCAAAGGAAAGCAAAATGCCATTGCTTCTGCTAATGACTCATTTCCTTATCTAATAACTCCCAAATCTGGAAATTGACATTAACCAGAATCTCACTTATTCCAATTTCAGCTCAATTCTTGTTTTGTCATCATTATCTGAGATGTCCACAGAACAGAAAACATCATTCAACTACCACAACTAAGTAATCATAATGTATACAGAGACATTAAAAAATATTAGCAACAGATTTAACAACATTCTAAATATATAATTAAAGGTTATATATTAAAATGTTAGCAGAGATATATATGTCATATAGGCATAAAAATGCATTATTTTTCCAGTAAACCCATTCATTGTCTGTAGTTTAAAACTCTAATATAAACTTAATAAATTATGTAGAAGTGAATGGAAATCATGTATTATTCTGTCATCTAAGCATTTTAACCAACAGAACTGATCTTTTTTTCTTTTTTGAGACAGAGTCTCACTATATTGCCCTCAGTAGAGTGCCGTGGCATCACATCTCACAGCAACCTCCAACTCTTGCGCTTAAGCGATTCTCTTACCTCAGCCTCCCAAGTAGCTATGACTATAGGTGCCTCCCACAACACACGGCTATTTTTCTGTTGCAGTTGTTTAGCTGGCCCAGGCTGAGTTTGAACCCTCCACCCTTGGTGCATGTGGCTGGCAGTATAACCACTGTGCTATGGGTGCCAAGCCACAGCTGAACTTTTTTTAGACTTACTAGGACAGAGAGTAAGCTGGTCCACAGCAGCCATGGTTTTGTATCAGACAACTAATTATTTTATATTCTACTTTCAAACAATAATAGTTACTCTTATGACTAATCATAAACCATTTCTTAAGAACAAGTAAAACTTATTTATCTAGCAGATACAATTTTAGTTTCTAATTACAGCTTAGATTTCTAGAAATTATAGCAAAACTAGATATGCCAACACTGCAAGTCACTAAAAATTTGACATTTTCTATAAAAGTTAATATCATACCAGGTTCAAACTTTCTTCCCAAGATCGACTTATCTGCAGCGCTATTTGTACCTCCCTATGAAAGAAAGGAAATCAGTACTGCAGTTTGCTTATCCAAAAGAAAAGATACAATTGAATATACAAATTACTAGAATAGTAATTCAAAGTATGATACTCACCGTTCATGCATTGTTTCTCTATTTATTAAAGACATGCGTTCTTCCTGTAAAGGCAGGCAAATAAGAATGAAAAGAATACTTAGTTCCCGTGATTTCATAAAGTTTAATTTGGATGCACTGTTACTTTTATTCACTGTGTTAAAAAAGAGTAGAGAATAAATGAATCTGTCAACAAGTGCCTGGTTCTCTACCCTTTATTGCTGCATAAATTACCACACCAAAGATTTATTAACTTATGCATTACAGTTCATCAGATATACAGGAAATGGTTAGATGAAAAACTTTGTACCTTTCTTCATTCAAAAGAGAAAATATTAACTATTTAAAATTATATGATTTTTCCCTACCATTAATACTATAATATTAATAAATATTACTCACAGTCCAAAACAAACTGTCGCTATGAGCTTGCTCAAGTAAATAATGAAACAAACATAATTTAGATGTAGTCATTGACATCAAAAAACATGTATTATATGTTAAGTGGGAGAAAAACAGAGTATGTCTATACAAAATTATAAGAGAGGTGCTCAGAAAAATGTTTACCAAAGAGTTAACAATGTCTATCAAGGAGTAGTAAGATTTGGAATAGTTTGTTCATTTTTTCTTTCTTTATTTGCCTTTTTATAATATTCAAATATCACTTTCAATAAGTAGTTATTTTTAAAAAATAAACCACATATGGAAAGACATCTCATACAAATGAATTGGAGCACTTAATATTATTAATATAATCACTTACCCAAAGTGATCTACAGAAGCAATGAAACTCCTACCAAAATCCTAATACCAATTTTTGCAGAAATAGAAGAATTTTAGGATGGCATCAAATCCATATGGAATATCAAGGGACCATGAATAGCCAAAACAATCTTGAAAAGGAAGAACAAAGTTGGAAGACTCGCACTTCCTATTTTCAAAATGTCCTATAAAACTACAGTAACTAAAACAGTATGGTGCTGGCATAAGAACAGACATACAGACCAATGGAATAGAATAGACAGCTCAGATGTAAACCCTTTTATATATGGTCAAATGATTTTTCACAAGAATGCCAAGAGTCCAAGCCCATTAAATGTGGAAAGAACAGTTTTTTCAAAAAATAATATCGGGAACACTGGAAATCTACATGCATAAGAATAAAGTTGAACTCTTTCCTCATACCATATGCAAGAAAAATAACTCAAAATGGATCAAAAACTTTAACTTAAGAGCCAAAAGTACGAAACTCTGAGAAGAAAACATAGGGGCTTAGCGCCATGGCTCAAGCGGCTAAGGCGCCAGCCACATACACCTGAGCTGGTGGGTTCGAGTCCAGCCCGGGCCACCAAACAACAATGATGGCTGCAACCAAAAAAGAATAGCCGGGCATTGTGGCAGGCGCCTGTAGTCCCAGCTACTTGGGAGGCGGAGGCAGGAGACTCGCTTGAGCCCAGGAGTTGGAGGTTGCTGTGAGCTGT